GGTGTGTGTGTGTGTGTGTGTGTGTGTGTGTGTGTGTGTGTGTGTGGCCCCCACAGACACTCTAACCCTGCACACTCGGGGAGACCCACTACTTACTGAATATGCTTCCACAGCTCCTCTTTCGCTTGGACATCCGGACTTCTTCTGTAAATAAATGAAACACAATTCACCTCTGCAACATGTGGCCTTCACAAACCCCCGAGTTCCCTGAATACTTCTGTGAGGTCTTACTCGACATCTGGCTGCTGATAGGACTCATGAGCAGCCAGGGCTACCACAATGACCAGTGGAAAGACGACGGGTAATTTATTGGCCGGTGTCACCCAAAAAACTCACATAAAAGTGAGGCATCGCCAGAGCTTCGTGAATGAAAGAGCCTAGAAGCCAGGTTTGGTGGCACAGCCCTACAATCTCAGTACTTCAGAGGCAGGCGCAGGGGGCTCACCACAGGTTTGATGCCAGCCTGGCCACCCAGGGCCACATAGCAAGCCCCTACGTATCACAAGAAAAAACAAAAAGGAAGAAAGGACAGAGCTTAGAACTTTGGGGACAGGTGTGCAAACCCCAACTGTTGTGACTGGACACTGGACAGTGGTCCAGGGGCTCTGGTTCTGGACCTTGCTGTCTACTTTTTATTACATTTATTTATGAGTGCACACGTGTGCCTCGTGTGCACTCAGGGCAGCTGGCAGGAGTCGGCCCTCTGCTCTCACCGTATTGGTCCCAAGGTTAGGTCCTCAGGCTAGGCGGCAGGTAGCCCTGATCTGCACAGCCATTTCACGCGCCACCCACTAGCTATTTTCGAGCAGAAAAGAACTCATTTCTTTCAGCCATTGTGAAGGCTCTCAACATGGCCTCTGATGACCTAGTACTAGCAACAGCCATGAGGGAAAGGCAAGAGGTACAATAAAGTCCCCCTTTCGTGTGACATCTCAAGTTCTTCACCAAACTTAGGCCACATGGGAGCAGAGCCTCTCTGTGGCCTCTGTTCCAGCTGCCCTCTCCTCCCTGAAGACCTCCTGGGATAGAAATTAGACCATTATGTTGAAAGTCCTAAAAGAAGAAAGCTGAAGTTACTGTTTGTGTCCATCCATCCTCTCCATCGGGTTAACTGTTAACCCCCATAATAGCAAGGAATAGTAAAATTATTTCAGTTGTTGTCACAGAATGGGACTCTTCAGTACCCTCTGGAGGAAAGAGATCTATTAAGAGGCCCAAAGGAAAGTCCTAAGCCCTAACAACGAACAAGGCCAAGAGTTAAGCCACTGATAAACCCACCCTGTGGAACTTTACACTGAGGCTCAGTTTGCTTCCAGCATACAATATCACCAAGGCTTTCATTTTTCTCTCATGCGTTCTGGCAGGGCCTGCTGAATCCACAGAATACAATAAGCTATTTACTTAGCTACAGAATTTACTCCGGTTTCTCCTTTGCATGTGTGGATTGGGCGGGAAAACAAAAATCTGCTTTTTTGGTCCAATCCAAAGGAGTGAAATGTGGTAAGGGACAGGGGACAAAGTCTTGGTGTCTGACCCAGAAGGATGTTGGCCACAGATTTTGTTATATAAAACCGTATGCTTAAAAAAAAAAAAAAAAACCATACAAATGGTTCTGAAAGGTCTCTTGAACAAACCTGCCTCTCCTACACTTGGCCCATCTGATCTCCTGGGGTAGTCTGTTAAATGATACCAAGAAGGTGCAAATATTTCAGAGTACTAAGCTCTTCTTCCACCCCAGCATGCTGGGTCAGCATGCGGATCTCACTGGAGGCCACTCAACAGTCTATCATACGATGTGTAGGCCAAGGTACTCTTCTGCTGATAAGCTGTTCTTTCAGGGAAGTGCAGGAAGGACTAGTTAGCTCTCTTCATGGTACAGGGAGGTGCAAGAAGGACTAGTTAGCTGTCTCCATGGTGCAGGAAGGTTTCGAAACCTCAGCACTGCTAATATTTGAGCAGTATTTGCTGTGGGATGGTCTTTCTGAATGCTGTGAATATGTGTTGCTACCACTGGTTAATAAAGAAGCTGCTCTGGCTGGGCAGTGGTGGTGCACACCTTTAATCCCAGCACTCGGGAGGCAGAGCCAGGCAGATCTCTGAGAGTTCGAGGCTGGCCTGGTCTATAGAGCGAGTTCCAGGACAGGCACTAAAACTACACAGAGAAACCCTATCCCAAATAATATAAAATAAAATAAAATAAAATAAAATAAAATAATAAAATAAAATAAAATAAATAAAATAAAATAAAAACAGGAAGGAAGAGGAAGAAAAGGAAGAAGAGGAAGGAGGAGGAGGAGGAGGAGAAGAAGAAGAAGAAGAAGAAGAAGAAGAAGAAGAAGAAGAAGAAGAAGAAGAAGAAGAAGAAGAAGAAGCAGCAGAAGAAGCAGCAGCAGCAGAAGCAGCAACATCAGCAGCAGCTTATAGCCAGGCTGGAAATCCAAGAGAGATACAGGAAAAAGGAAGGTGGAGTCAGGGAGAGGCCAGCCTGCTGCCCAAGGAGCAACATGCCAGCAGACCGGCAATGCCATGGCCACGTGGCAAAACAGATTAATAGAAATGGGTTAATTTAAGATGAAAGAGCTAGGTAGTAAGAAGCCTGAGCCATAGACCAAACAGTTTGTAATTAATATAAGCCTCTGTGTATTTACTTGAGACCGAACGGCAGCAGGACCAGGCAGGACAGGAAAAATTTCAGCTACAAATAACTTCGGGAGCTTCCCCGTGCTTTGTAAGATGAGGTCAGTGACACCCACAGCATCTACCCACTAGAAGCCAGTAGCCTCCCTTGTGTTAACAGCAGAAATGACTCTGGGGAGCCCAGGAGCAGGCTCAGAAGGTAAAGAGCTTGCCACCAAACCTGATGACCCAAGTTTGATCCCTAGAACTTACATGGTGGAAACTCCCAAAAGGCTGTTCTCTGGCCTCCACGCACATGATCTGGCACATAATTCCCACCCTGCCCCCTAACACACACAAATAAATAAATGTAATTAAAACTGTTAAATGACTATAGACATTGCCGAGTGTCCCGGGAAGAAACAAAGAACAGACTGAAAACAAGTCTGAACGTAGCTAAAGCTGAGTGGCAGAAGTGACTGGATACGTTAGTGTAAGATCCAGTGTGCGGCTACAGAGACAACGCTGACAGCAGGCGGAGGTTAGATATTAAAAGCAAGGTGGGTGGGACCTGTGTCACAGTTGATGACGGTGACGAGAGAGTAAAGGGTGGTGTGATCTGAAAGCCTGAGGTTCCAAGCTTAATGCTTTTACAAAAGATGAGGAGAAAGAAAACCACGTGCAAGGAACATACAGTCCATGACCACCCTGCCAAACAGGAACCATTATTTGAAAAGGGGTATGTGTGCGCGCGTGCGTGCGCACGCAATGACTCAGCAGGTAAAAGCACCTGCTGGGGTCCCATGTTCCATCCCCAGGACCCAAGATAGAAGGGACAAACCAACTCTCATGGGTCGTCCCCTGACTTCTACATGATCACCATGGCATACATGTTCCAATACATGTAAATACACACACATGCACTCAAAAGAAATGCAACCTAATTCAAACGCACACATCCACACAGCTAACAACCTGGTAAAAGGGTAAGCATATTGCTCTGTGATAAAGCAATAGCCAAACACATGCAACTCCTGCATCAGACCTCCATCCAGTGCTGCATGCCCAGACACACCAAGAAACAACAAAGGCCCGACCAACCGCAGCGGGGATTCTCCTGACTGCTGGAGCTTCGGGTAACGTTAGCTTCTTATTTCTGCCTTTGTGTCTGTACTTTAACCAGAAGACTTCTTTAGCTTATGACGGGGGAGGGGGGGTAAAAAGGGAGTGGGGGGGGCAGCATTTAAGAACTTTTTCATGTGTAAATAATAAGTCTTGTGATTCCTATTCAAGATGCCAATCATTCTGTCTCCAAAAACTTAGCAGGAAAGCTGCCTCGGCCTGGATGGGCAGTTCCTCTACGCCATACATTCTGGACCTAAGAGGTTCTGGCATTTAGTCTGTGCCTTCATGTCCTATGGCCCTAAAAGGGCAGTATTCTGAGGAAACTGGGTTCTAAAATGCCCACTATCTTCAAAGAGCTCAGGACATGGGGAAATTCAAAAGCTGGGGGGAAAAATGCCAATTTCCTATGACTGCTAGACCACCTGTGATATACAAATACCAGCCACCAAAACGGTGGGTATGTTACTTTATGTTGGTATCTGCACATATAATTTTTATATTGTCTACAGTTCAATACAGTTTTGTGGGTTTAGAAAACCGTGAAATTTTAATAGCCATTTGCCTACAGCTCAATGGGAGAGCTGCTTAGTGTGCGCAACGCCTTGGGCTCAATGCCAGCACACATAAGACAGGCGTGGCCGCACATGCCTGTAAACTGAGCACTCAGCAGATGAACAACTCCATCCTCAGCTACATGTTGAGTTCCAGGCCAGCCTGGGCTACATGAGACTCTGTCTTAAAATAAAAAACAAACTTATGCGGACACTCTGTCTAAACTCTTCAAAGAAGTCCCTCAGTTATCCATAGATATAAAATATGCCAAATATAAACATGCTACCAGTATTTTTCAAAAGCATCTCTGCCTACACTTCAAATCAATCAGAGAAATAAGTTTGTACAGATTAGCTTGTAATCCGAGCACTTGGGCAGCTAGGGGGGAGAATCAAAACCACAAGGCCAGTCTGTGCTACGTAGTCTCAAAATAACTATGTCATAATATATACTATACAATATTGACTTCAAATAACAAACATGGTATATTATTCTGTCATCTTTAAGCTAACTGCATCTCTAAAAGAGAATTTAAAGTTGGAAAATATGTAAATACAAGAGTTCTATTTACTTAGAGACTTCAAAGCACCTAACCAATTCTTAGTACTTCTTCTGATACCCCTTAATGGTCAGAAAAAGTGAAATTAGGGAACATCTTATTCCTCCTTCCTCCCTTCCCGTCCTAATCAGGAACATGAAGTCCAGTAGCCCAGCTGGGGAAGTCTGCACAGGAGCATCCAGGAACTTATCTGAATATTCACCTAAGCTGGATTTTGTGTTTTATTGAGCCCATCACTTCATAGGCAGCCTTACTGATCACATGATCAACAGTTTTGTCAGTAAAAATAGTACCACAAGGAGGCCACCAGGGGGCGGTGGAGCCCACTCACACACACACAGAGACTATTGTTTGAGGGCCCAGGGCAGGGCCTCTCCCGTACAACCCAAGGAGTCAGGTTTACTCATAGGGAAAGCAGTTTCAAGGAGAAACTTGAAAAACCTGGCCCTATTTTATGTATATATCACAGCATCAAACACAAAAGCCATAGAAATGGAACTGAAAAATACACTAGATAATATTGAGCTTCATAACATTTATAGATAAGACCAGTCATTTTCAGTTTAATGCTTGTTCGGGGGATGACGGGCACGGGCGCGCGCGCGCGCGCGCGCGCGCGCACACACACACACACACACACACATACGCATACACACACACACCTCTCAACAATGTACCCAACAAGCTGTCCGTACCCTAGGACTCCTACCTGCATCAGGCTACATACACACCCAACTCTCAACAATGAAATAACTTTCTCGTTCCTTTACCCCTTAAAGCCATTAAACTCAGATTCTGCTCCTTCATACTATAGTTTACGTCCGAGTGTGTGAGTACATGGCCAATTCAACTTGAACTAGTTTGCAGTGCATGCACAGCAAGGCACACTTAGTCCTCTCGGTGAACTTGTAGGGAAAACCCTCCACTTTCCATCGTGTGCCTGTGTGTGATTGGATGTATACATGATTAAAATCAGATGCATTATGGGAAAGGGCTGTGCAAGGAGCAAAAGTCTACTGATCCAAATCTTCCAATCAAAACAGAGAACCTACACAGAACACACCCCTGTAACCAAACTCCTCCTTCCTTTAGACAGTGTGTATGAAGACACCCCAGACCCTTGAGTGCCTGGGGCCCTTGAGCATTCTCACGTGTGTGGCCCGCTGTCACTCTAGACTGTGTATCTGGCCTGCCCTGTCACTTGGCTCAGAATAAAGTTACCATGCTACTTTGCCAATCTGTGCAGGTCTTTATTGCAAGTCTTTGAATAAGAAAGAGGTCGAGAACATGTAAACATTCAGCCCAGGCCCCAAGAGGACAACAATTTCAATGAAGTATTATACAAAATATTTAAAGAAGAAATAATGATGATTCCATATTAACTCCCAAAACAAAGAGGAACATATCCCAAATTATAACCTAGCTTTGTTATTCCCAAATTATAATGTAACTTTGTTATTTAAAAAAAAAAATGGAAAATCAGAGTGCCACATTAAAAAGAGAAGAAAATAAAACTGGACATGATAGTATCTGCCTGTAATCCTTACTTTTGGGAGGTATAGAGGCAGAAAGCTCAGAAATTCAAGGCCCTAGGCAGGATGTAAAGGTGTATACCTTTGACCCCAGAACTCAGAAAGTTTCAGAAACAGGTGGATCTCTGTGAACTCCAGGCCAGTCTGGGTTCTAGAGCAAGACCCATGCCAGGTCAGCTAGGGCTCCATAGCAAAACCCTGTCTCAAAAGAAAAGAAAAAGAAAGGAGACAAGAAGGCAGGCAGGCAGGCAGGAATGAGTGAGTGTAAGGCCAAAGGCCAGCTTGAAGGTCAAAGGGACTACTTGAAATCCTTTCTCAACAACCAGAAAGTTCTACACTAGGTATAAGGACATATGCCTTTAATCCCAACCCCTGGGAATCAAAGGCAGGCAGAGCTTTGAGTTGCAGGCCAGCTAAGCCTATAGAGCAAGTTCCAGGCCAGTCAGGGCTACACATAAGACCCTGTTTTGTATTGCTTGTCTTAGATGTATTTCCTTTAATGTGTATCTTTTGCTCATATAGATATCTGTATACCACCTGTATGTCTGATGTCAAAGGGGGTCAGAAGAAGACGTTGGGTCTCTTGAACTGGAGTTACAGATGATTGTGAACTACCATGTGGAGGCTGAGGACATAATCTAAGTCTTCTGCAAGAGCAATATGTGCTTTTAACCACTGAGCCATCTCTCTAGCCCCATGAAACCCCATCTTTAAAAAAAAAAGTTGTAATCAAAAGCTAAGTATCTATGATGGAGGAGTATCCCTTCAAATATAAGGCACGTGGGATCTATGCTGTGGCCTCCAGGGTCCTCTCCTGGCCTGTCAACCTGCATCCCCGTCTTTCTTCTGGCTGTTCCATCTGCTTCCCACGTCCATCCTCTCCCTGTTCAGACACTGCTCTCTCCTCCCAGGAGTCAGGACACCACACCATTACAGGTGACCACCAGGATCAAGAAAGGCTTTGCAGTTAGTCCCAGCGTACTTGAAACAGGCATATTTGGCAAGTGGAGCAGGCATGGGTGGCCTAACTCTTGATGTATAGACACACACACACACACACACACACACACACACACACACACACACACACACACACGAGCATGTAGGTACACCACTTTATCAGCTCACAGGAAATTGATCTGGGGGGACAGGCAACTCACCATTATGGGGTAATTGTACTCACACATGTCATTGCCTAGCAACAGGAGGGACAGGCAAATCTCAACATTGGGGGTGTAATGAATCATTCAATGACTACTGCTCACAAATGGTAATTTAACAGGAGGATAGTAACGTCGGGTTCAATTTAGAACAAGACTTTCGGGAATTCTGTAGACACAAATTGGGCGAAGCAGCAGGTGTTTCTCCAACAGCCAGGCTCCAGAACAAAGGAGGCTCTAGTCATCTGCTTGGATGTGTGCATTTGTTGAAAAACAACGCGTAAACAAAAAATATGGGTTTTGATGCCCTTATTCCCATGACATTTTGTTCCGCCTGAGCTCCAGCTTCTAAGCCTTCAAAACTGGTTCATGAATGTGAGAAGGAAAAGCAACAAATAACAAGGCTGTTCCCGGCTGAATTGAAGCCTCGTGAGGGAGCAGACCCGAGCCTCTCTCCACCTGCTCGGTCAAGCTCCCGGATTTGGAATAAAGTGGAAAAAGAACCCACATACGAGCGAGATCTGTGTCTGGATCGCCTGTTGTTAGGATCCGCTTGGTTTTTTTCCTTCTGTCTCCTTAATACAGCTTCCCACTGAGGCGTTGAGTCAACCATGTCATTCTCCTGCCGTATTCTGAAAAGACAAAGCAGGCATCTGGAGTCCACATCCATGCCGGGCACGGCGAAACTCACCTGGGATCCCAGCACTCAGCAGGCTGAGGTGGGGAAATGAGGACTCTGAGCCACCCTGGGCAGCATAGAGACCCTGTCTCAGGGACAATGAAGAAATGTAAAGTTAACATCCACACATGAATGAAAATGAAAACATAACATAACAAAATCTACGCGACACCATGAAGGCAGCCCTGACTTCTCACTCATGTGACCCTCGCTTTTCAGATAAGAGCACAGCAATCTGATTACATCATAAAAGCTGAGGATAAAAAACCAGACTAATATATCCTTAAGTAGGTGTATCTACCTGTAAATTACACATATTAGTATACAATGTTCATATTAAGTCTATAAAAATAACTTATTTTAAAGTATGTCCTTATGATTTTCTGTAGATCCTCAGTCTGTTGTAAAATTTCTCTTTTCATCACTTTTATTGATCCGAGTCTTCTTTCCCTGTCTTTTGGTTAATTTGGATGAAGGATTTGGCAATCCTGTTAATATTTTCATAGAACCATAGACTGATTCTGTAGTCTTTATCCCTTCTCTTTCATTCATGTCAGCCCCAACTTTGATTCTCTCTTCCTGTTTACTACTTTGGGGTGTCCTCTGCTACTGTTTTCCTAAAGCTTTCAAGTGTACCGTGAAGTTATTAACTTGAGCACTCTCGGGTTTTGTTTGTGTAGGTAGTTAGAGCCATAAACACTCCTCTTGGGACTGCCTTCACAGTGTCCCACAGATGTGGGTATGTTGTGTTTCCATTTCCATTCAATGCTAGGAATTTTTAACGTCCGTCCTGATGTCTTCTTGAACTCACTGATCATGTAGTGGTGTGTTATGTTCTCCACGACTTTGTGTACTTTTGCAGTTTCTGTTGGGGGTGATACCCAGCATTCTTCCACTGTGGTAAGAAGGATGCAGGATGTTAGTTAGCTTTTCCCATATTTGTTAAGACTTTCTCTGCCCACTCTACGTGGAGGTGTTGGAGCAAGTCCCATGAGTGTGGAGAAAACTGTATACTCGTTAGTGTTTGGGTGAAATGTCCTATAGCTCTTGGGGCCATCTGTTTTATGATATCATTTAACTCCAGTTTTTCTCTGTTTAATTTCTGACCAGGTGACCTATGCATTGGTGAGAATGGGGTGCTGAAGTCACCTATAATCACCTGTTGGGCTTACTCTGTGGATTTAGATCTAGTTTTACAAAGGTGGGTATGCCCACGTTTGTTGAGTATACATTTACATTGCAATATCCTTTTGGTGGATTGTTCCATTGGCGAATATGAAGTGACCTTCCTTATTTCTTCTAATTAGTTATGAAGTCTACTTTGCCAGATATTAGCCAGTCTGACATTTCTGTTGATTTCGTGGTATTGTGTTAGGCCTCTTTTGATTACATGTATGGGCACTGTTTGTTTATTTCCCGTGAATTCATGTGGCTGAATCACTGAGCAGGCCTTTGGGGTGGGAAGGAGTGGACCTAGCTGGTAGTGTAACAGAAGGAAATGGCAGGGGACCCACGCAGGCCTATGGAATGGGAAGGAGCCTAGTCATGGTAGTTTGTACAGCTTGAAGAACACTGTTCTCAACTTGAACATCTTCTCATTGCAGAGCAAATTTGAAATGAACACACATGCTGTGGATATTAGCATTAGAAATATGAGAAGGTATACAACCTGAGGTCACCAACCATCCTTTGGAACTAGCACCTCCATGTAACAGCATCATATGGGAACATATGCTCACTCACGTGCATGTGGGCACATGTGTATTTTCATGGCTGCACCTATACCTACAAGCCTTCCACATCGAACAGGAGAGAAACCCATCAGGCTTTCCGGAAGTCCTGAGACACTCTCAGGACTGAGGGATCAGGGCTCAGTAGATGCTGTCAAAGGGAAAGGATCAGGTCAATAGCAGATCTCCCTCCCATAGGAGCTCACACCTTGATCTCTGGGGTTAGGATTAGATGTAAAATTCTGGATGGAATCACTGTACAGTTCATGGGCAAGCTTAAATATCACTACACATTTTGCTATCAGGAAGTCAGGACCTTCATTATCTCAAGTTCAATTCTCCTAGCAAGGCTGGGATGACTTAGTCCAGCTCATAGTTCCCTCTAAGTGCAGACACTTAAAAGGAAGACAAGTGCTGTGTGTATATTCTTATGCACTGGAGAATTCAGAAGGTTAGCTATCACACTCAGGCATGGTGGCGAATGCCTTTAAACCAGAACTTGGAAGGCAGAGGCAGGTGGAGGATTTCTGTGAATTTGAGGCCAGCCTGGTCCAAACAGCAAATTTTAAGCCAGCCACATACACAATAAGAAAAACAAATCCTAGAAACACACATGTGGATTTCCTTTACTTTGTCAGTAAAAAGGACTAAATCAAAATGAATTTCAGATTATACCATGTACTTTTGTTTTTCAAACTGCAAAGTCTCACGTAAGGCCAGTGAAATCTTACACCTTCATAGCCTCATGACCCAGGTGCTCTGAAGACAGATGCTCTCTACAGGTGATGCTGTTTCATAAATATTCCAACAGATACATTAAAAATGCAAGGCTCATTGCGGAGTCACAGGACAAGCAGTCTCCTGAGCAATGCCAGTGTGGACACCCAAGTCCAGCTCGTAATGAAGTTTGAAATTACATGCTTACAAAAGGCCTCAGCTTAATGATGCCTCATTACAAGAATCAAAGTGTCATTTCTTCCATTACTGAACTGTTCCAGAAGACACGGGTGTAATCTGGGAACAGTAAAACACTAGCACTTAGAAGCAAGGATACTTCAGCACTCTGTCCTTAAAGGCAGAAGTTACCTATTCCTCTTTTAAAAAATCATTAGCAAATAAAGGAAATATTTATGTGAAAAAAACATATCTCCTATAATGATTTTTTTTTTTCTTTTGAGAGGGTTTCGTCATGTAGCGTGCACTCCTGATCCTCCTGGCTTGATCTCCCAAATGCTGAGAACATAGGTATGCACCGCCTCCGGGCATGATTCTGAAGTCTTGTTCATTCATAGGTATGGAATATGGAATTTGCTACCTTCCATTAATTCTGATGTAAGGATTTACATCATCAGGAATAGAAATATTAATAAAATATTAATAGAAATATTAAAAGCCCTGAACTGACACACAATCTTTAAAAAAAATCACAATCAGGAAATTATCAAAGGAGGAAGGGGTCCATCATTTTTTATAGTGCAGATCTAGTCACCTCAAATGCTACAAAGATGAACCTCAAAACCCAACACCTTTCCTGCCTGAATCTCAGTCTTAAACCTATATTCGGCACACCTTGTCTATTTCTCCACCTGAGAGTTAGGATATGTGTGGGAAACACATCCTAACGAGACCTTTGTTTTAAATTAATGTATGGGGAGGGGGGCTGGGTGGTGGTAGTACACTCTCTCAATCCCAGCGCTTGAGAGGCAGAGGCAGGCAGATCTCTGAGATCTAAGCCAGCCTGGTCTACAGGGTGAGTTCCAAGACAGCCAGAGCTACACAGAGAAACTCTTGTCTGGGGGGGGGGCGGGGGTAGAAGGGGGAGGAGAGTAAACAGGGAAAAGGGGGAGATGGGGGAACCATTTCAACACTATTTCAGGGCACAGACACTCTCTCCAGGCCCCCACAGCCCACCTTTTCCCAGGTTACCCTGGCAATTGAGATTCTGACTGTATCTGACACTTCATTAAAGTGTGCTAAGGCTGTGAAGATGGAATCCACATAATCACCTGCTAGCAAAGTCAAGATAACAGCAATTCCTATTCTTTCTTTTTCTCCTCAATTAGAGCCCTGCCTCTTCCACACAAATCCTCACATTACCAAATGAATTCTTACACAAATCTCCCGGGGCTCTCCTCTGTCCTCTCCTTTATCAGTTTTGTTCTTAATGGGACCTTCCTTTAGACCGGCTCTTAATCCCCTTCTAATTCATTCAGATGAAGGCCACGTTCAATGCTGAACCCAAAGTCTTTCGGAGCAAATGCATAAGCCAGCCCGCTCTTGAGTTCTGTCTCTTTCCCCGCTTGGCCTCTACCCGACTTGGAGACTCTGAGCAAACCGCTTATCTCTCTTGGTCAGGTCTCAATTTGCTCATGTGAAAAACTACTACAAAGATCTTTTCTATCTTTAAAACTCAATGTTTCTCTATTTGTGTTTTATTTCCAAACCACTAGGACTCTGAGGCAAAGCTCCTCTCTCTCTGCCTGCAGCGTAACATCCTCGACAATTGCTTTGTGTGACCACAACGCTGCTAAAATTAAATCACCAGCTCCCGGCAGCCTGGGAACCGGTGTTCTCGTTCAGCTACACTCATTTTTCCCTCACCTGATAGAAAGCAGTCTTCTTTTCTTATTTATGTCAGTGGCTTTGCCTCCCTAGGGAAATTTGTTCATCCCAGCGTATTCTCTGAAGGCCAGGAAACAAGAACTCCGTTTGCTTTCCCAGCCTCCCCTTGCCATCAATACATTCCTCTTATTTGCTCTGAAAGTTGTTTTACCTTCCTCTACATATTCCTCCTGCCCCTGCTACCACCATGGACGACCTCTGACGCAGCTGCACTCTGAAACTCTCACGTCTCCGTGATTTTAAATCTGTCTCACCCTTTATAATCTGGTAGCTTGTCTCCGGTGTACAAGCTTTGTTTTGTCAGCTCGGATCATACTCTGGAGCCCCACGTCACCCACAGCACAGGTCTACATCTTGGTACGTCCTAGTGAAACAGAAATCAGAAGTCCTTGAGTCTGCGGCATGGTGACCGCAGTCTCTGCACCAGCTGTCTAGGAACGGTCCCCTTCATCACCGCAGTTTGTATCTTGTGGTTGCCTTTACATCAACGGCAGCACAGTGGGGAAGGTTTGCAAGGAAAATGACTCTCTTCGGGCTCGTGGAAGGAAGCCCATATGGTTTTAAATTTGCTGACACCCCACATGCTAACCTTCCCTAGGGT